ACAACAGAGCTATATGCACGCACTGTCTCTGTTTCTGTATCAGCTGCTAATAGAGCTTGTGAGCATTTTTGCCGCTTTATTGGCTTTGAACAATTGCGTAAACACTTATATGCATCCAAATGCCCGGCTTTGCAAGTAGCCTATCCTCATAAACACAGCCATTTAGGTCTTAAGGGAACGTAAACAGTTGCGAAAGAAAGCGCATGTGTAACAGTATATTGGATCCAGACTTCGGTCTTAAAGGGCAAGTTGTCCAATATTCGTTCTGTCTGCCATTCATGTTAATCAAACAACAATGAGAGAAAATCTCTCTCTTATTTTATTACTGACTTTTTACTTGTTTCTTTTATGAAAATAAAACTTTGCGTTGAAGAAAAGTAGATTTTTGTTTGTATATGCTGTCAATTATAGTTCTTAGAAAGAAAATCGGAATCGGCAAAAATCGGTATCGGCAGATTACACTAACAAAAAAATCGGAAATCGGTCAAGAAAATTGCAATCGGTGCATCTCTAAAAAATACTCATATCGTGATAAAAGATTTTGGTCATATCACCCACCCCTAATGCTCACTACATCTTTACATCTTTACATCACCCAGCTGAAAAAAAGAGGCTGAAAATAATCAATACACATAATGAGCAATAACCTTTACCATCAAGCTCTCTGTCCATTAATCATGCATTTTAATTCCCATCGTGCCCTTTCATCACAAAAACACACATCCTTTCTCTTGTGTCAAGTCAAGTCAGAGTACCAGAGGCCTTTTCACCAGTCAGACTTCATGAATCAGAAAGATGCAACCAATTTAGACTGTTGTGCCCAGAAATAATCTCATTCATGGATGAACTGACATTAAAATTAAGGCTGATACTGATAAACTGATGATTTTTTAAAATTCAAATACAATTTTCTAAATGAAGTAAAAATACATGAAAAACTGTAAATGGGTCTAAATGTAAAAACAGAGAAATGAGCATAAATAATTAAATATGCAATATTTAATATGCTGATACAAACAAATAAATATATAACTACAATTTGGGTAAACATTTTTTTTAAAGAATCATTCACCAAATAAAAGCAAAAGAAAAAAAAACTGTTCAAATCATATAATATCTCAGTTAATCCATTATTACTCAGAAATTATGATCAATCAATAATCGTAAGATTTGATAGATAGACAGACAGACAGAGACAGATAGACAGATAGATATATAGATAGACAGACAGAAAGACTGACAGACAGACAGATAGTAGGGATGGAACGGTTCAACTTACTCACGGTTCGGTTTTAGGGTTTCGGTGCGGTTCGGTATGTGCTATGTTTATGGAAAAACTATACTGTCAAATAAAAATAAAGAAAATAAGAATAATCTATCTAACTACAAGCAACAGCACAAATAAAAACAATAGAGGAAAGATACAAATAAAATAAAAAGTTATTTTCAGTTTTTTTTAGGTAGGTCTAACATTAGTTTTTAGGTACAGAAATTGAATAAAGTAATGAAATGTAAAGCAGCATTGCATATTTGACTGTATAAATTAAAGATTAATCTTTATTAAAGTTACAAAAGCTATTCAATCAAGAGCAGTGAGTGATTTCCTTGTTGTTGCTGTTTGATTAATATTAAGAAAGTGCTGTCACTTTAAGACACTGTAAATACGTTCAGACAGCTATGTCTGCTATAGCATACTTGCCAAGATGGGCATTTTGACATGATTTTTGTGTGAATTTGTCCATTTAAACAATACTTCAGAGAAAGCTTTATATTTGCGCACTTCGGATGAGCGCACGCACAAATCTTCTCACCGCGCGCTATCAGCACCCGAGTGATGACGGAATAAATGATCATATTCCAGCATACGGCATTCTCATTGAACAAGAGTGAATGGTTTGTCCACGTTTTTTTTTTTTCATCGCTGTTATTATAATGTATTGGGAAGCCAGAATGCGCAACAGAAACATATATTAGCCGAACTCTGTTTGTTTTACGTGTTATTTATAGCAAGCCATATTACAGATGCGTTGTCAGATTAAAGTTAAACCGCGGTCCTAGCGCATGCCAAACCGTGTGTGGAGAACCGTATGGTTCGATTTTTTTCAGCGAACCGTTCCATCTCTAATAGATAGATAGATAGACTCATGTGCCATAATAAAAATTCATATATCTCCTTAAGAACAAAATATAATACTAAAAGGTCAGCAGCTTGACCTCATATGACTGTGACAAAGTCCAGCACATACAGAAACATTCCTTTTTCCTGTCAAACAGCAGTGCTAATTTCCTTTTCCTTGCATAGCGACGACGGCCATCCTCAGCGTATCATCTAACACAGATTCAAAAATGTCAATGCAATTTATGCTAAATAAATGTGAACGTTAATGCATTTCAGGTCAACACAAAGCCGATCGTTTTTTATAAAGCAACTAAGCTGGTAGCAATAAGGGCATGATTGATTGACTATGTTAACAGATTGTCAAAACTAGGTCAAAGTGCATATTATTTGTGTCACAGTCACACTGCATTTGCCATCCTGCCTCATGTGACGCATGAGATGGTGGTGATGAAGAAATCAAATGCACTTTCAATCATTCGGTTTACATTTAAACTCGATTTAATCGCACCGAATGATCAAATCCAGATCTATTGATGCCTCTGGCTTTGCTAGTTCAGTCTCTTATATACTGATATGCACTGCTCTAAGCTAACGTACATTGTGAGCTGTCATATCTTTGAAGTACAGTACGGATTCCAAGGGGTGTGACGCTGCACTGGAGGAAAACACGGATTTCTTCAAAGAGCCTGAACTGCATTATATATGGATATGACTTCCACACAGTCCATATATCCATTTATGTGTGATTACCTAAGACAATAATCCATTTCAGGCTATTAACTGTGGAGAAGACTGCCATTAAAGTGCGTATAGCGTGTGATGCTTTGATATTGCTTGCTGAAAAACAGATGTGCGTGCAACTCTAAAGCAAATGTGACTACATTATGTTGTAGGCAAGAAGGCATTTTGTAGTGAGGGTTCAATGCATCATCTTGTGATGTATCTGTTACCTGCTTGTTATGATGCTCTTGCAATAAAGTAGCTATTGGGCTAAACTGACAGTTTAATGTAACGGCAGGTACAGTTAATCTACAAATTACCAAGAGCGATGTTCTTTATACAACATTATAGCTTCAAGACACGCATTCCATCAGGGATATTACATAAAAACAAAAAACAACTACTTTTAGGTTTTTTTTTTTTGGTTTGTTTTTGCCTGATCCCTACCAAATTCACCATACATGTAGTCTCAACATGTAATGTCAATGTGAAAATTATCAAAGACGCATTGATTTTGAATTCAACATGGCCGCCTGAAGCTGACAAAATATTAAGGGCGTGGCCTATTTAACAAAAAAAAATAAAAAATAATATTTTTCATATAGGCTATATATGGACGTGTAGATGATAACTTCACTAAGCTCTGTTGGTGGTGTCAAGATAGTAAAAAAAAGCTTAATAGGATTTTAAATTTTTATCACTAATGTTATTGTCATTTATTTTTTTGTTCAGATTGTTGTACTTTGGTTTAGAGGAAGTTTAGGGGGAAATGTGTAAAAAGTGTAAAAAAAAATGATTGAGAAATGAGATCAAACTAAATAAATACATTGATTTTAAAAATAAATTAATCCATAATAAATAAAACAGTACAGTAGTGAGTAGAAAAAAAGTTAACAATAGAACTAGAAATAGAAACTAAATACTATTCAAATTTTTTTTTTTAAATAATATTATTTTTAAAATGAATTAAGTTGTCTTGTTGTCTGACATTAAGATGATCATATCCGGGGGTCTGTGACATCTAACAGATTGAAACCCCCTTATTTTGATAATAAAAATAAAATAATAAATAGATAACTCTTTTAAATCCCAATCATAACTGCATTTACATCAAACGACACTACAATTTTTAAAAATGCTCTTTAATAAAACCAGATGTATTTTGCATTTGATGTCATTCTGCACAAGTCTGTTATTCTCTTATTCAAGCAACTTACGTTTCGCCCAATCAGACCAATTCTGGGTTCCCGCCAAAATCATCTCACCCAATCAGCACACTCATGGGATTTCGACTCATTACGAATCGAACGTGTTCGAATCGAACGGTTCTGTTAAACGAGTAGTTAACCCGGATCACTGCGACTCGATCATATTCGAAGAAAACGCACTGAATTCGAACAGAACGTAAGACTAACATACTACTCGTTGTATTTATGTTATGTACAGTAAATATATGCCATAAATAAAAACACCAGTAGGCTCTGCTAAAGTCAATCACGGTTCTGGGTTCAGTAAGTCGCTGAGTTGATGACTCGAGAGGCGCTCGGATCGAATCATTCAGACCAGGTTTGTGAATCGGTTCATTGAACTGGTCCGAATAAAAATAAACGATTCGTTCACACCGCTAACATTGGAGTCATTTGCAAACAGCTTGCATGTAAATGGGCCGTATATCGTTTCCAAAGATATCCATCCATCACCTGTGAGAGAGAGAGAGGTCTACGCGACCCCGTTCCTCGATGTCAATACGCCGTGGGACTTCATGTAACCCAAAATAAGCGTGTCTTCCAACAATATATTCAGAAAAGGTAAAACTGTGTCAAGCAACTCTCCATGCACCGAGAATAGCTGAAATTATCCTTGAATTTGCGAGAATAGAATATTAAAAATGTCAACAGGCCAAATCATGACAGATTATCAATATGCACGGTCAATCCACTCACATGCGAGAAAGAATAAATATTCAGAATTCAATATATGCAGAATTCAAACATCACGCCGCACGAGACTCAACACCGCCCATTCATTCGGCTCCATCATAACACGTCCACCATAAATCAACACCAAAGCGGCTTGAACTCCGAACGAGAGAGGAACTACACGTGCGATGCCTCAAAACGACCCATTTGCAAATAAGAAGGAAATTATCAGGATTTCTTACCTGAAAGGCAGCCCGCACTCCCGTGCGCGAGAGATGATTGAGTTGATTTAGAGGCAGCGCGAGCTGAGCTGCGGTCCTGCCTCTGGAACACGAAGCCCCGCCCCTCTTGTTACTAGGGTCCCCATCGAGGCGATAGGATGTTGAGATAAGTCCTTCAGCTCAAGTGCGGTTATTGAACGATTCGTTGCCTACTATCAGCGTTACACACCCAGATATTAAACTATGTGTGCATGTGTGTATGCGAGCGAAACTTGTGTTGCTCTCTAAACCTGGTCCTTTAAATGTGCATAGTAATGAAGAAGCAGGAATAATAATAATATAGTGGACAAAACCAAGATATTAAAATTCATATGTGTGTGTGTGCATACACAATATACGGTGTAATTTGTTGTGTGTGTGTGTGTGTGTGTGTGTTTAAATATATATACAAACGCGCACACAGTATATGTAGAAATATATTAAAAATATTGAAATATATAATTCAATGGAAGCAAAATAGTTTACACAATATGTTTACACACTTGTAAGTGAAATTTTAAACTGCAAAATATCTTCCATTTCTGTTTTTCAGCAGATGCTGATATTCTCAGGAAGGCCAAATATCAGTCCATCTGCACTAAATATATTTTATAAATTAAATAAAACATATAAATATCTTATTTTGTTGATAATAAAATGAATACATAAAATGTACAATTTAATTTATTGATAGCAAATTAGATATATATTAAAAAATTAGAAATATTTTACACAATATTTACACACACACAGATAAAGAGAGAGAAAGAAAGAAAGAAAAATAATCTACACTCTTACATTCTCAAAAAAATCATTTCCATTTCTGTTTTTAGCAGTCCATGATTTTCTCAGAATGGCTAAAAACCAGACAAATATCATTCCATCTGCACTGACGTTCTCACTCAGAGATTGCTAGTAATTTTCACACATAATTACATAGAAATGGCAAGTAACACACTGAATTAAACATGACATTTTGAAGTTTTTTTCTTTTGGTAGAAAGAAACAGTATTTTTTTTTGTAAAACATACTTCAATAATATTTGCTTTATTTATGCAACCTTAGAAAATCATGTTTTTGCAGTGTGTAGTATAAATCAAATTGTGTATTACTGATATTTACTGACGAATATACATTGTGTCAGCCTGAGATAATGTACTTACATATGCATAATATTTAACTTAACATTTGAGCGTTGCATTTACAACTTAAATGTAAAAAACAGGCTAGGAGTCAATTGTCTTTTTCAGAGAGATGCTCAGGTTCCATATGTTAGTGATACTCAGAGAGAGCTGTCATCAAACATTTATAGGCTGGTCCCTGAAGTCTTCACAGATGTCTGTCTGCAGTCTGCCTTCTACACAGTGTGACCTTTATTGCAGTGACTGGTCTGGGACGTTATGAAGTATGTATTGAGTATTTCTCCTGAAGCATACAGTCATATAAAAGCTCTGATTTGGTTGCAGTTGGTCGGTGTGTGTGTGTGTGTGTGTGTGTGTGTGTGTGTGTGTGTGTGTGTGTGTGTGTGTGTAACTGATAGTGTTGTCGTGGTGATGGAGCTTGAACTGCTGCTTGTGTACATGATGAATATGCAAGCACCACTAATGAGGCTAATAGAGCAGAAAATTAGATGTATTATTAGAGGTTATGTACTGTCAAATGCAAAAAGAAAGAATTAAAAGGTGTGTGAGTAGTACTCGCAGATGGACCAAAGGAAAACTCCACGAACTATTTTTACACCAATATATAACACACATCTGTCACTGAATCATTTGATAAAGGAGATTTTTTTTAAAATGTTCTAATTTGTTTAAATGTAAAAATAAAGTAATAAAACACACATTCTTAAGTCTTATTTAATATTTATTGTCACATATTTAAATTTTAAAATAGTATATTTTTTTAAATATTGAAATGAATATATATATATATATATATATAAAACACACATATTTAACATATATACATACATACATACATAACATATATTTACAAAATTTTTAAATTTAAATTAGTATGCACACAGACATACACATACACTTTAATATTTATTGTATTACATATATTTATATTTTATTTCTATAGATATTATTTGAAATTATTTAAATTTATTATGTTGCCTATACATACATTAAAATTGCAGGCCAAAAAAACATATACATATTCCCAATATTTAGGCCACTAGTTCAATTTCATATGTAATTTTTGTAATTTTATGTAACTTTTAATATATATATATATATATATATATATATACACACACACACACACATACACACACAATTTATTGTATTACATATACATACATATTATATTTATAATATTTTATTTATACAGATTTTATTTGAAATGATTAAAATTACGTCACCTTTAGAAAATGCAGGTATATACACAACAACATATAGACATACTGCCAATATATAGTAGGCTACTGTGTAATTATTGCTGTGTTTCTTTAGCTAAATATATAATGGATTAACCAAAACAAAGAAAATGTAAATAAAGAAGCAGTCATGAACAGTCATCAGTGCAGTCAGCTTAGCTCCATGCCCCTGTGACCTCCAAGGGTCATTTGACGGATAAGCTTTAATCATATAACTAACAGGATGCTGTCCTCTAGTGTTCATACTGAAAACTGCAGGGTTTAAACCTTGCCATGTTTTTCATGCTATACAGATATATGGTTGGAGGCCTTCTTGTCCTCTAATGGGTTTTTTTTTTAAACAGTATAGTGAAATAGTTCTCAGGGTGGTATTCTGAGGTCGCATTTAAAGGTGACCCTAAAACACATGATGTTCATTACATGGTGACCCATGATAATCATTAAAACCAGCTGCTGCTCATAGTATGGGACCCATTTAAAAGAAAAACAGGAGGAACTGTGAATGGTGCATGGTGTACAATAACTTAGCTTTTCTCAGAAGTACGATGTGCTCTAAGGGGTTGCACTGTGTGTGTGTGTGTATATATATATACTTGAGCAACTTGTCTCCTCAGTCCCCAGACGTTTGCAGACTGTTATAAAAAGAAGAGGGGATGCCACACAGTGGTAAACATGGCCTTGTCTCAACTTTTTTGAGATGTGTTGATGCCATGAAATTTAAAATCAACTTATTTTTCCCTTAAAATTATACATTTTCTCAGTTTAAACATTTGATATGTCATCTATGTTGTATTCTGAATAAAATATTGAAATTTGAAACTTTAAGTGTCCCACAATAAACACCATATTAAATCTACTTCATTTACAGAATAATGGACTGTATCATATCTTGACATTGTTTATTTAAGATCTGCACAGTATCTTACTACAGCTTGTGAGTGGTTAGATGTTGAGTGTTATTTGAGTGTTTCCTGTGGCGTTAATGTTAATTAATTGATGTGAGCTTTATACTCCCAACTGAAGTTTTATATGGTTACATTTTATTTTGATGGTCCACTTAATCAGTCGACTATAAGCAACTTTGCAACTACATGCCAACTAACTCTCATTAGAGTATTAGTATGCTCAAGAATGGTAGAATCTAGTATGGTAGAATAAGTTGACGTACTTGCAAAGACACTTATAGTCAGTTTATCTGTTAGTTGACCATCAAAATAAAGTGTTAGCAAATATTAACAGAAGCAGACATACTAATACTCTAATGACCGCTAGTTGCAGAGTCACTTATCAACAGCTGTTTAAAGGGTACCATCAAAATAATCAAACTGATATTACAATAAAAATAGTTCAAAGCAAATATGTCATATTACACATTCATCTGATCTGATATCTGATCTTATGGCTGTTTGAGAGAAAAACATATTATTATTATTACTACTTATAAGTGGTCTTTGACCACTTTAAGTAAAGTAGCATAAGAAAAAGGGCTTATAATACATTATAACTATGAGAAATATAATCCATTGTAAAAGTGGATGCAACGTGTTCATTGTGTTATAAATCATCATACTCTTAAAAGCTATCACCACAAATAAGTAAATATTATAATATATTAAAACTGTTCTTATGAATATTCATGAGATGATACAATATATTATAAGTTTTTTTTATAATGCATTATGCAGTCATCATAATGCCTTAAGAATACCCTTATAATGTATTATAAATACGGGCTTCATAGAACGTGCTACCGAATTCTGTTTTATGTAGTTAAAAATAAGAATTCTTTATTTTCTTCAAAAATGACTATAAAAAACCTATAAAATAACTATAATTTACCACAAAGATTAACAGATCAGCAATTTTATTGATGCACTGAAATTGGATTCATTTGAAAACTGGTTAAAGTTTGTTAAACTAGTTTGAAGTTGCCCATTTGGGCTAATGCAGTGCTATCTTCACTCAATTAACGTGCAGTAATTTTAAGAAAATCCACCAAACTGGTGTGGGACCAGCAGGGGGTGACTTCTGCTGCGGTATATCACACAATCCTATTTATAAGGCAATTATTTCCTGTACAGCTGTTTGTAATCTCTAAATGACTTTCTAAGTGCTGTTTAAAAACTTTTATCAACATTGAAGCATTTGTTTACTTCATGCTTTTCAAGGATTAGAGTAAGCCTTTCCTGCTGTTAAAGGCCTTAAATATTACTCAATTTGATCACAACAGTTCTTAGAAACCATCAGAGAGGCATCACCACACTCTAGGATCATTACGTCTATCCACCTCTCTGATTCTCTAAGGTTACTGCAATGCCCCCTTGAACTTTGACCATGAGCTAACAGTCAACAAAGACATAAATACCAAGCATGACGTCGTAGACAGCTGTCTAGTTAGAGAGAGATACTGTACATAACCCATGTGAAGGTGCATAACCTAATACTACTCTGCACACATTTTATCAAAACAAATATTTAGGAAATATCTGGTGAAATACGACTAATATCATATTGCAGAGATATTTGAGAATATTGAGAATTAGAGAACTATACAGCAAATCCAACATTCAAATTTTGCAGAGCCGTTCTGTATCCTGCCACAAGAGGGCATCGTTGAAATTAGTTATTCCTGTGTTTGTCTGTATTTGTCATTCCGTCAATGTCTTGCAAAGGTAGCACTCGTTTATATTTCTGCATTTTCTTGTGTTTTCATTACCATACATTGTCAAGTATTAAGCATATTCAGTGTGAGATTGTGCATGTAAACGTTTATTTTGTGCATGAAAAAATGACTGAAGTAAACCGTGTTGCCGCTAATCTTTGCTTTATAAATGTTTCTGTTGTTTCAGCATGTGGACTAACCAACTGTTCAGCCGATATGAATATCTCTCTGAATAAAAATAGCAAAAAGGCCAAAAAACATTTCATTTTAAGCAACAACTTGTCTTACACCAATCCTAAAATCAGCAGACCCCTTTCCATTAGAGTTTATGTAACTATAGATTATTGTACCTAGCTTGTAAATGAGTGCTTGTAAGCTCAGTAAATTTGCTTTAGACCTTTATATTTGCTGACCTAGATACATCAAAGACTGTATTCCGTCACTGGTATATCCAGTATTGACGTCTTTGCATCAAAATGCCAGAGGCATTTGGATGTGCATCATTTTAAATCATCACTAACCTATAACCCACATCTAATATCACGATTCTCACACAGGGTAATGGAAAGTCAAGCACGCACATATGCCTTTGTTTTATCAACCAAATGTGTTGGATTTCATTGCAATTTGCTTATCACACTGGCTTTTACCTTTCCCAGCGTTGGGTTGCTTAGATTAAAGTGTCATGGCTTGCGAGTTTCTATAGGAACCAGTAGCCTTGTAAGAAGGGCAGCCCTCTCTTACCACTTGAGGGTGTGTTCGAATAGCCCTTCTCCCCGCCCACAGTGCTCTCTATAAAAGGCCAAGAGCCCTTCACATGTGTCACAAAGACAAGCTGGTCTAACAGGAGAGAGTCTGAGTCTGCTGGTTAGAGAGTCTCAGCTATCACCCTGAAGACCCTGTTTAATGCAGTGTGTAGAACAAAGTCCTATCTAAACAGACGCTCAAGACCTCCACTGGAGAACCAGGTGCACAAGGTAAGCAGCCTTCAAAATGTTTGATGAACTTTTGACATTTCGACTATTGCACAATTTTGGAATAAATCTAAGTGGACCAGTATTATAACTGCAGAACCTTCCACTTTTGCAGAGTTTCTACTCTGAGTCCAAACGGCATTCCAATGTGGGCGGTAGAGAAGATCCGAGTGTCCGTCGAGAGGACCAGCCTGCCACTTCCCATAACGGAATACAGCTTCAAAATCGGTGACATCATGTTCGGAGACAAGTCATCCATTGACAAAGCCAAGAAAGTCTCGCTGTGTCCAAACATCATTACCCCGAACACTATCCCCGAGTTCTGCATTCCCCCCAAGATCTCAACCCAAGTGGAGGGCAAGAGTATGGAGCAGGGGAGGCCGACTCCATGTATCCGAGTGTTTCTGTGTGACAAAGGAAGTCCAAAGAAGGAGGTCATTCCCCGAGAGCTTCCCAATAACCATATAATCCAGGTGGAGAGTGTTGATGATGGGCCATTTGAAAACGGCTGTAGTGATGAGGAAACCACCAATGCTGATCCTCAAAGCCAGGCTGCACTTTCCCTGCCCCACTTAGCTAAAGCTCAAACCTGCTACGGCTTTTGTACCTTGCTTGAAAGTCCCCACACCAGGAGAAAGGAGTCCCTCTTCCACAACAACCCCAACTCGAGTGGAATCCCCTTGGTTCTTCCCCGGAGTAGATCAAGCACTTGCTCCAAATCAGCTTCCCCCATCTTGCCATCTTCATCCTCCCATTCTTCCTTCAGCCTGAATGCTCTTGCTTCTAGACTCTCTCCAAAAGGCTTCACTTTGCACAGACAGGGAACTCTAGATAGCGATACCACTTCCTCAGCAGAGTCCTCCCCTTTCAGTTCTCCTCTCCTGAACAGATGCCCACCAAAACCTTCTCTCCTCAAAGTACTTAACCATGAGAAACTACTCTACCACAATCTCCGGAAGGTTGCCATGTCCAGAAACAATTCCCTATCGACGGATGAGGGTAGCTCCACGGACAACAGCCCCAATATTATGAGAAGAGCATCCGAAGGCCTTGTTGAACCTCTCCCGTGTGGGTTCAGCTTGGCTCCTCCGGCTATCTTCCCCATGGACTTGGTTCTGCACCGGGAGAGGGTGATGAAGGAGAATCTGGTGCCTGTAGGAAGGGACGGTACCTTGCGGCTGTCGGCGGAGTACTGCCCTGAAAACCAGAGACTGCGTGTCCGCCTCATAAGTGCGGAAGGCCTGTACGCTCTGTCAGTGGACCCTAAAAGCATTAACTGCAGTGTCAGCCTCTCTCTCATGCCCGGAAAAGTCCAGAAACAGCGCAGCACGGTCATTAGGAAGAGCCGCAATCCGATCTTTAATGAGGACTTTTTCTTTGACGGTATATCGGAGGATGATCTCTGCCAGAGGTCGCTCCGATTCAAAGTCGTTAACAAGATGTCCAGCATGAAAAGAGACTATATTTTGGGCAACTGTGATCTTCCTCTCACTAGCATTGTCACATTATAAATCCAACAATCGCTTAATTTATTTTTTGTGTGAGTGCATGCGTGCATGTATTTGTATATATTATATGAAATGTTATTTATTGCCAAATCTATTTATCTGCCAAAGACTTATTAAACGACAAAAACTATATTAGTCTTGTGGTCTTTTGTTCTCGACGGGAAGTATGATTTTAGGTATTCAGTCAACAAATAATCTTTTATTCATGATAAGAACAGCTGTGACTGAATCAAAGCACGGCAGTCTTAAAAGCTTCTATAATGGCCTCCATTTTTCCTTGTCTCATCTTGATCGGCTTGATTGCCACTACAATCTGACACGTAGCCGTTTACATGTAACAAGATTTTTAAATGCAATATACAAATGATGGAGAAATCACTAAACAATTGCTCTTGTGGCAGACAAATGAGGCTGCTGTTTTAACTGGCAAGATATATCCGGTAAAGTCAATCAATGGCTTCCTTTTTTCCCATAACAGAGGCATCTTTTTGGGATTAAAAGTTAGTGGGGTGGATGTTAGTTGGGATTACAGTAGCAGCACCTTAACACCGTGCTTCCACATCGCTAAACTTCAAAGAGTGCTAGGCCATTTGAGATGTCAGTAATACCTAAATGGTGGGCTTACCATTCACTGATCTTTCATTGGAGGAGGTAAATAATAATAAATTATAAAATAAATTAAAAATACTTCTCTGATTTCCTCTAAACCCGTTGTTTCCTGCTGACCTTTGCAGGGATTATAAATACCCAGAGTAACTTGAGAAGTAGATAGCTCATTCTCATTAAACTAGCTGTTTTTTTTTCCTCAAACAGGCTTGCTGCCTAGGCCAAGGCTTGCCAGCTAGGCAAGCATTTAGCATGAGTAAAAGGAAGGTTATGATTTTCCATGGATCAAAAATCACTTAACCCCTGATCTTAACCACTTCAAGACCTAAACTGATTCCAGATTGATTTGAAAGACTGATTTCTGAGTGTACTGATGAAAAAAAAAATCAGGTTTCGGGAGAAGAATAGTGGAATTCTTCCTCACATGCAGTTTGCACTTCAAAATGGCCCACTCCATTAAAACTTGAATATAATTACCATTCTAGTTAGCAGTCACAGAATACATCACATACACTCTTAAAAATAAAGGTGCTTCACGATGCCATAGAAGAACCTTTTTGTTTAAATGGTTCCATAAAGAACCTTTAACATCTGAAGAACCTTTCTGTTTCACAAAAGGTTCTTTGTGGTGAAAGAAGGTTCTTCGAATTCTAAAAAGGTAAGAAAGAGATGGTTCTTTAAAGAACCTTTGACTGAACGGTTCTTTGTGGAACCAAAAATGGTTCTTCTTTGGCATCGCCGTGAAGAACATTTTAATCACCTTTATTTGTAAGTGTAAGAGGCTCAGGAATAATAACTTTTTGTCAAACTCATCCATCTCTGATCATTTTACTTTAGTGCGCATATATAGCACTCTTTCTTGCGCAAAGCACTTTGATCACATAACACCCTGAAGCACATGGGTTTGTCATGTGCTTCGCCGGCAGAACTGTCACATTTATGCATGTGCTGGAATACTTGAAAACAAAACCACGTACAGCCTGCTCTGGGTTATGTGCGCTCTTATTCATGATATCAATATGCAGAGAGAGAGATATTAGTGGAAATGAATGAAAGAGGGAAGTCAGGCCTCTTAACATATACATGAAGAACATACATATCAATAACCATGAAAATATTCATAACATGCTTTTGACAGATGGTCATGGATGACTGTTTGAATGATTTCATTTAAACTAATCTAATAAAGAGTCATGTTTAGAAGGTAATTAATTACCAAATGTAACTCTATACATGTAATGATAAATATTGCATATATTTTTGGATTGTTTGCTTAAAAATTATATAATAAAATGTATTATTTAAAATGATTTAAAAAATACCATTCTAAACTAGATTTTTATGTAGTTGCATGGCTGTTTTGGATGGTTGCTGTAGGTATAACTTGGGTGCCTCTCTGAATGTATGATTTTAGGCATAGGCTATTATTTGCACTAAGTGTAAATAGTGACAGAGGCTATTTACGCTAAATTTAAACTAATCTAATAAAGAGTCATGTTTAGAAGGTAATTAATTACCAAATGTAACTCTATACATGTAATGATAAATATTGCATATATTTTTGGATTGTTTGCTTAAAAATTATATAATAAAATGTGTTATTTATGTAGTTGCATGGCTGTTTTGGATGGTTGCTGTAGGTATAACTTGGGTGCCTCTCTGAATGTATGATTTTAGGCATAGGCTATTATTTGCACTAAGTGTAAATAGTGACAGAGGCTATTTACACTAAATGCAGATAGCAATAGATGCTATTTACACTAAGTGAAAATAACATATTTTCTTAGCAATATGCTATTTACACAGTGCAAATAGCTATAGATTCTATTCACACTGTTAAAATAGCAGGATTTTCTGCTATTTATACTACTTATTACAAATAGTGGAAATGATCTGCACCTCAGTATTGTAGTAAATTAGAAAACAGTATGCAATAATAACGTATTGAGTGTAAATTTATAAATATATATTTAATTCAAATTATTAAATGGATGCCACCTTATTGGGACAATAAAGCCCTCCCTACACCTACCCTAACCCTACCCGATACTTAATTTGTAACTTTTTCGATTGTTTTCTTCATTTTTATTGAAAATAAATGCCTTTCCTATGTGATATGAGATTTGAAAAGGGAGGGAAAAAAAGTACGGCAAAAGGCGGATTCGAACTCGGGTTGATCATGTCAAAATGACTGCAATACATCTACACCACTGGAACTGTTCATTGACCTCCGTCTTTTGTATTGTTGCCCAATCATACATTGGTGAGCGGAGTTAGTGTAAATAGCCTCTGCCAACAAGGCATAATTTTTGCACTTAGTGTAATAGACACTCCAATGTTTTTATGACTTTTTGCCTGTTTTATTGTCCGACATTGTTCGTTTAATCGCATCGACATGTTAGTAAAATCGTGAAATTAACTATGATTCATAATGCACTGTAAATAGCTAAGTGGAAATGCATGTAAAATGCATTAAGTAGCACGGCAGTGCAAGAAATGACACCCTGAATCATACTCCTTTATAGACTCCTCTATAGAGAGATGGTAGTTACACTTTATTCACGTTTTTCCAGAAAGTCCAGGCTTAACCTATCGGGAAAATACAGAGAGAGCTGATGGTTGCCAGGCAACTCCTTTCAGCATGGTTAGGCCCAACGTCTTGCCACGTCGAGCTCTGCACAGTTAGGCACTGTCAACAGCAATCACTGCTATTTGTTTGGCCTTCCAGATGAATTAACTGTTCTTTTCTGTCCCTGTTCTACAGTGTAGAGCATTTTTTTGATTATTGTTCAGTAGTATTGTTATTATGTCCTCAAATCAAATTAAATTAAGCATTTGATTTATGAACAATCAGCCTGGCTGAGTACATCTGCTTTGGCATCAATCAAAGTAGATTGCATTACCCAGCTGCTTATTTTATGCGTAATTTCTCTATTTGAAACCAGGAAAAGAACATTGGTTTGGTCACATTATTTGCTAAATACATCCACTGAATGTGTCTCTGCTTTGGCTTTCAAAAGTAAATTGAATTTATTAATGGCTTTCAAGAGTAAATTTAATTTATTAACGTCTCTTTGCTTGTATTTCCACTTAGCTAAGAGGCCCAAAGTACAGTTCTTACCTCAGCAGCCTATTTATTAATAGTCTGGCTGGTGGTTTTTTTAGAGAAAGCAGACAGGACCATAAACTAATTTTCTGGAGTGATATGCATTGCTTTTCAGTTCAGAGCATCCGTTGCTATTTTAAGTTAGTAATATCTGTGGTTAAATATTAAGCTTAATGCTCTTAGTCTGGCTCTGGGGATGGGCACTATAAAGAAGGGCCAAGAAATCTGCAATGAAAATGCAAACTAAGACAAATATTAAAACATTTTCTCTGTCATTAGTTTTAAAGGTTAAAAGTAAGAAGTAAAGGTTTTAAGTGTATAATAATATTCAGGCCAATTGAAAATTGACAACACTACCATATTTAATGTGTTTAATCTCTGATAACAACAAACAAAAACCTTTAAAACAGTTCCTTGTGTAATCATCCTTTTGATCTTTGAAGGTTTAGAGTTACTAAATATGACTTTTTAAGATTTACAGATTGCTTTCATTTCTGTGACTTTTCTAGGGACTTTTGAAAATTCCCTAATATTTTGAGGTTTTGGGACTTAAAGGCATAGTTGACCAAATAAATGGAAATTTGCTAAAAATGTAATCAACCCCAGGTCATCCATGTAGATCTAGATGAGTTTGTTTCTTTGTCAGAATAGATTTGGAGACATTTAGCGTTATATCACTTGTTCACCAGTGGATCCTCTGCAGTGAATGGGTGCCGTCAGAATGAGAGTCCAAACAGCTGATAAAAACATCACAGTAATTCACAAGTAATCCACACCACTCCAGTTCATCAATTAATGTTTTGTGAAGTGAAAAGCTGTGTGTTTGTGAGAAACAAATCCATCAAGATGTTTTACCATATCAGTAGTCAATAATCCATAATAACACTTTTCCAATAAAAAAATGTCCATATCTGTTGTCCGCTCACATAAAAATCCACCAACATATTTGTTTCGAACTGTTTTGGATTGTTTTCTTGTAAACGGTGCTTGATCTGTGCATATTTCTCTCCTGATTCTAACGAGGTGAAAGCAATATTATGGATAGATGACTCATTTGAAATAAAAAATGTCAGTTGCAGACAGGCAGCTTTTTACTTCATAAGATGTTAGGCTACTTGATGGACCGGAGTGGTGTGGAATTGTAGATTATTGTGATGTTTTTAATCAGCTGTTTGTACACTCATTCTGACGGCACCCATTCACTGCAGAGGATCCATTGGTGAGCAAGTGATGAAATGCTACATTTCTCCAAATCTGTTTAGATTAAGAGACAAAATTATTATAATCATTATCTTGGATGGCATGGGGGGTGAGTACATTTTAAGCAAATATTTATTTTTGGGTGTACTATTCCTTTAACATTTACTG